AACGTTGATTACACCGTTAAAAAACTATATTCACTCTAGTATGCCGAGTCCATTAGCGCCTGATCCAATAGAAATTGCATGGCGGTAACATCTATCTTTCTATCTAGCTCATTATCCCATTAGAGATAAATCCTTATATCGGCGCTATAACAGTAAATGGACATATTTACTTCTACTGAAACTATAGTGTATTGAATGCATAAGACTTAATTTAACCTGGAATTGTCATATTTGAAAAGTTTTAGGTCGTCTTTACAGTCTCATCCTTTATGGTTAACCCTGTATATAATCTTGGAATCTCCTCTGACAAGATTAAGATAAAAAGCTGATTTAAGTGACTGTTAGCGTTATTTTTAAGTGACCCTCCATGCACAGAAGACAATACTCGATTCTTCTGACTCGGAAAGTGTTTAATTCTGGCAATTTCTTTAGTCTTTCTCAAGAGAAACAACATTTGAAAAACAGTTTTCAAACTTAAAAGACTTATACTGGATCGACCAGACAAAGCCTTTAAGGATACTGTTGTGAATCGAGCATTGCCATCTTTACATAGAGGCTCACTTGAAATTACGCATACAGTCCCTTTAAATTTAAACTTTTATCTGAGAATGCAAAATGTTAAGGTCTGCCACAATCTAGTTAAAATATGTTTAAACAAGATTTAAACCCAAAACATGTAAAAATACAGAGGTTGCAGTAATTGCAATTATTTTTAAATAATGCATATTTATCCTATACAATTTCCAATTTTAATTAAATCTCAAGAAAACGAACATCTGTGCAGTGCAATTCTTCTTATTTTTTTAGATTGACTATGTTTAAACTTTAAAAAAGACACTTGGTTTTTAAATGGTTTTTAAGTTCTTACTGGGGTTTCATGTGACCTTTCTAGTATCTTATATCTGTTTAAGAAAGAGGCATTCCAAATTCACAACGGTACTCTAAACATTTAAGAAAATGTTCTTGCTTTTCTATGTAAAAATTGGTCATCTTTTGATTGTGGTTTGTCTATAAAAATTACCTGCGGCTTTTATGCAGCCGAGGAAAAGAAGGTGTAATTTTCAGAATTCGACACATTTTAAGAAAACGAGGATAAATATGTAGATTAACAATAATATATTACATAGATCACCTATTGTATGCAATTAAAAGAATATTAATATGTAGATTAATATTAATATATTGCATAGATCACCTATTGTATGCAATTAACAGAATATTAATATGTAGATTAATATTAATATATTGCATAGACCACCTATTGTATGCAATTAACAGAATATTATACATAGATCACCTATTGTATGCAATTAAAAGAATATTAATATGTAGATTAATATTAATATATTGCATAGACCACCTATTGTATGCAATTAACAGAATATTAGTATGTAGATTAATATTAATATATTGCATAGACCACATATTGTATGCAATTAACAGATTAGCAATATGAAGATTGATATTAATATATTGCATAGACCACCTACTGTATGCAGTTAATAGAATATCAATTTGTAGATTAATATTAATATATTACATAGACCACATATTGTATGCAATTAACAGAATATTAGTATGTAGATTAATATTAATATATTGCATAGACCACATATTGTATGCAATTAACAGAATATTAGTATGTAGATTAATATTAATATATTACATAGACCACATATTGTATGCAATTAACAGAATATCAATATGTAGATTAATATTAATATATAACATAGACCACAGTACTGTGTGCATAAATGTATTGGGTTCACTACACACTGGCTGCACTAGACATGTCTGTAACCAGTAAATGCAAATTAGGTACCATTACACAAGTACCAATAAATGCTTCTATCGGGTTGAATCATGTACTCGTACTCATGGGACTGTAATTCATTTTTCACTAAAATTTAAAAACAGTTTAAGAAGTACATTTTTATCTTTTAAATGAGTTCCCTGGAATGCCACTAATATGCCTTCCTATCCTATTTGTCCTTTAAGATTTATTGGAAATGCAAAGGTGTTGTATGGGGGGGGGACAATATTCCGCCCCCCCCCCCTAATCCATTTCTAAATAAAAATTGTATTTTTTACTCTCTGTTTAATTTTTAAAATCTTTTTATCTATGTTTGTTCCTTCAAAGCAAAAATTTTAATTTTATTACAAATTTTATTACAAATTTTATTTAAAATTTTATTTAAAATTTTCATTACTAACCGCCTTACCAAGGCAGGTTGTTTTGATTTTTAACCCAATCATATCAAAATGGGATAATAAGCGGATAAAGATAAAACTTTTTAAAAAATTGTTTAGTCTATTGAATTTTTCATCAAATGACCCCCCCACCCCCCGCAGAGCTTTAGATATCAGTTCCTAGTAAAACAATTCCTCCCTTATTATTGGTTTTCGCCCAATTACTCACACATTTTACAAATTCTTGAAAATAAATACTTTCTATTTATCCCCTGCTGCTCCATGCTGCATTCACATTGCAATTATTTGACCTAATTTTCAAAATATTTGCTTAAATAGTATTTTTATGTAAAAAAAACTGAAAGATAGGAACTATTGTATGGAGTATCAATAATCTTGAACACTTGATCTCGATATCCAATGTTGGCATTTTTGATTTTGAGAATAAATGCTTGATTTCTCAAATTGAAGTTTTCCCTGCAGGGTATGACCACCATGAGATAACGAAGAGGTCCACATAATATATCAAGATCAATGATTGATCCTGAGATTCAAAACACAAAAACGCTACACTCATAACGCTACACTCATAAAACGCTACCAGATAAAACGCTAGTAAAGTAAAAAAACGCTAATCCATCAAAATATCATAATATTAGGTTTAAACTTTAGATTGGATGACAAATTGTATTTTTTATATTATTACTTGAATTTTCGTAACTTGAATGTTGAAGGCGAAGAGTCGATTATAATACTGAACTGTGTTACTATATATAGTGTGGATTGAAACGGCTTTCTGGTTTAAGACCTAAGCGTGGAAAGCGACAAAATTAATCTTAAACATCATTTTAATAATCAAATATGTTATTTTGTAAATCTATATATAAATTTGGCTTGTCTGTCTGTTTGGGTGTTTGTCTGTCTGTTTGTTTGTTTGTATCCAATAAACGTCAAAACGGCTGAACCGATCGGGCCCAAATTTTTGGGGACATCACTTGACCACAGGGTTTTTAATTTTGTAAAAAAAATTTTAATTCTTTTTTTTCTTCTTTGTTTTAAAATGGAAACAAAAAGAACATGTTCACAATTTAAATATAAGATGGGCGCGAAGCCAGTTTCCAATATTTTAAATGTTTTGCCATTACTGGAGCATGAGCTTTTAAAGAAAAAAATTGAAGGTTCTGAAACAGTTTCTGTTAAATGTAAAATCCTAACTTTTTTTGCTAAATATTTTTTATTGATTTGACGCCTCAATGATGCTTTTTTATTATGTCAAAAGTATTTGGGCGGGTGTTGAAAAAGCCTTAAAAATTCTACACCATAAAGAGTATGGAAACCAAAGTTTGGCAATTTTGTTCGCTTACATAGTGATAGCACTGCCCGCAATTCGTATAAATTGCTGATATTTATTAAAGGGACCGTTCACTTATTTAGGTAATTTCAGGGTAAACTAAATAGCTTATTTAGCTTTTGATTTGATTGGTATTGGTCTTACTTTTCAAAGACATCCATGGCCAGAGAAAAAAAGCCGATTATCGTTCAGTATTTCATTGCCTAGACACTATTTGATGTTTTAAAAAAAACCTTTTTAACGGGTGGGGGAAAGAGAGAATCATCCCCCC